ATATAAATTTCGAATGACATGCGTCTGTGTTTGGAACATGGCGGAGTTAGATAAAAGAGCTCCATGTGGGTCGTCATGTTACAAGCTTTTTGATTCATCGGGTCGCTGTCCCTCAGCTCAATGAACAAGCGAGTTGTCAGATGTGCGCTTCGCATTATTTGCGGCTCGGTACCATCAAGAAACGGTTTGCAGTCATCAAACACAACAAATGAACAATGTCAGTTCAAAGATCAGGATCAAATACAATGAAGCCCACCGACAGCCTACGCAAAACACAATGACTTTGTTCTTTGTTATAAAATAACATATATAAAATTCAACACTTTAGCTCGGGGTGTCAAACTCATTTTTGTTGGGGGCCACATTGTAGTTACGGTTTCCCTTGGAGGGCCATTATGAATTATGGGAATCCAAATAAATTGTTCAATCCCCTCCACATATTACATACACAGTGCACAACAAATTGATGAATAACTAGTTTTAAAATCAGAAGTCAACAATAATAACTGTTATTGTGGATTACATCTGACGATATGAAATTTTGGTTCCGACTTTAGCAAGCATCGTGGAACTTGACTTGCTTGATTTGCTTTCACGGGCCACATAAAATGATGTGGCGGGCCAGATCTGGCCCCCGGGCCTTGACTTTGACACCGGTGCTTTAGCTGGTTTCTTCATGCTGTATCTCATGTTTCAAGATCAAACATGACTTACGAAATCTTTCCAATTATTAAAATTCCCTACATCAAAACAAAATTCCCAACATCAAAACAGAGAACACAACAGTGTTTAGTTTGTGTGTTCAGTGTTTAGTTTGTCATTGAAAGTGATTCAAGAATCATAACCTACGTTCGGCCTCTTCAGGTTGCATTCCCCTGCTTCATGTCCGGAAGGCGGAAGCTCCTTTCTCCCTAAATCCAGCGAGCTGTTGTCCGTCCTTGAGATCTCGAAAGCCAATTTCTATATGACATCACTTTGAAAGAGGTTTGCCAACAAAGCTGGAAAGTAGGCTGTATACGTAATGACTACGTGGCCAAACCTCCAATCAAAGTCAACAAAGGCTCAACTGTTGGTTGATTTCAACGACTAAACTGATTTAGTTGTCTGTTCAGGTTTGGAAGAAGGAATTTGCAATTGTCGACTCAACCAAAAATCCAAATTGGGCATCATACCCCGCAGCATCGACGTAGCCTGAGAGTCCATCTTAGAAACCAGTTAAGATGTTAAAATTTGTCATGTCTTTGCCTCACCTGAGCATATTCAACATGGCAAGTTGATGACATCGTAGTGGTTCACATAGCTGAAAAGTGTGCAGGGTGCAGTTAACACTCGGTGAAAGTGTGAATGGTTGTCTGCATCCAGCTCGTTTTTTTGGGCACCAGGGTGTAGTCTGCCTTTTCCCCAGAGTCAGTTGGCACAAGCTACAGTTTACTGTCACCCCGAACATGACGATACGACAAGGAATACAAAATGCATGGCATGGCATGACGTCATTTGTTCATTTGCATTCACCTCTTCGAGTTAACATTCAATGACCTCTTCAGCTGTCTTGTCGGTCTGCCGCTCAAAGAGGGTCGAGTCATTTCGGGGTCGTTTTCAATCTAGAGCAGAAATGTGCAAATCAGCAAATCAGCATATCAGACAGGATTATCCTCAAACAGCCAGAGGCACCCCCTCGGCGGCCCGCCTCCTCGCCGCATTGGACCGCTTCAAAGACTGAGGTGTTGAACATCTGACCCGAGCGGCTTTGCCAGGCTTTTTTTCACAGTCGTAACCCATTTTACACCGTGGGCTGGTCTGGAAAGATGCTGTCAATTTTATATAGATGTACCTCATACTGCAAAAGTCCCGGTCACCCTGGACTTTCTTGTTTGAACAACCTTTTGGACAAATGTCATTTTGACTTGTTCCTGTCAGAGTTTTTCTCGGACAAAGTTAAAGAAATGACGCAGCACACAGGGAAAATTGTCTTCAATATCGGCGGGAGATACTGCATTGGACCACTTCAAAGACTGAGGTGTTGAACATCTCTTCCTACTCAGGACAGAAAGAGACTTGAGCGACAGGTCAGGAGGGCCAGTTCTGTCCTGGGCTGCTCCCTGGACACTCTGGAGGAGGTGGGCAACAGGAGGATGCTCGCTAAACTAAAAGTTATGATGGACAGTCCCTCCCACCCCTTCCAGCCCGCCCTGACAGCAATGGGTAGCTCCTTCAGCCAGAGACTGTTCCACCCGCGCTGCAAGAAGGAGAGATACCGCCGCTCATTCCTACCGACTGCTGTCAGGATGCTGAATAAACATACATGAAAAGCTGTAACCATTGTAAATAGCACAGCCACCTTACACTGTGTTTTCTATGCTGTTGCTAATTTACTATATTTATTCTACAAATATATTAGTAATGCTTTATTTGATATTGCACTTACATTGAACAGTTTTTTTTCCCTAGAGCCATTACTGCATGCAATAAATAACCACAGAAAATAATAACAGCTACTGCATTTTAAACCTAAACTCACTTACCTCACTTGTGCAATAATGAGCAATATCTGAGCCATTTCATTTCATGTGCAATATGTGTCCTGTGTGCAATATAAGCCTCAGTCCACACTACCACTCCTGCTGCTGTTGTTGTGTGTTGTTGAGTTTTGTATTTATTAAACCATTATTTTATTTTTATTCGATTTTATTTTTTTTAAAATGCACTAAGGAGTGGCACCCATATTTCGTTGCATGCAATAGAATGACAATAAAGGCGATTCTGATTCTGAACTGTGTACAATTCTTTTCTGAAACATTTATTTTGTGCAATGAAACACTTTATCCCCCCCCCCCCCCCAATTTTTGCAAATTTGCCCAGTGTGGGACAAATAAAGGTTATCTTATGTTAAAATAAATAAATAGAATAGAAAGACAAGCAATGCTTTAAAAAAAAAAAATTAGCTCATCTATTGTCTTTTGCAATATGTGTTAGTGGAATTTCATAAGTTCGCTTGCACTTGTAAATATACGTTTAACGTTCAATTGGGAGTGGCAATAAATAGCAAGGACGCACCCTGCATTCAGTTGTTTATTTTTTGCGATTTGTTGTGAAGTTAGCTGCCATCATTTTGTGAACATAACTACACTTTTTTGTTTGGACTGAAGAGAAACAAAGTCACTTGTAAATTGAGGTAAGGCTACGTGTCACGCCGGGTTACGACTATACAACATTAGCATAGCGTGATAAACTTAAGAGTGTGTTCCGACTCACACACACATTCTGCATCCTGCATACTGCGAAAATAGTTATGTACGCTCATTAAGACATCACGAAAACAACAAATTTAATGTGGGTCAAGGACTGCTGCGCTGTCCTGTATTTGTGTGCCTGTTTTGCGTCTTAGCTAAATGTTACACAGACGTTGTCGTCACGGCTTTTTTTAACTGGTCAATAAAAAGCCGTGAGACAAAACAGTGGCCATCTTCGGACGTCATCTTTTACTTCTCTAACTGTAGAAATACGATTGGAGATGCCATTAATCGGTTCCTACCCCACAAAAAAAAACACCACCAAAAAAATATATATATTTGTGATGTTTTGAATCTCAAGAACATGAAGTAATATTTATTTTTTGCAGAGGATAAAGAAGATGTCTGTGAATATTGTTGTATTGTCTGCTGACATGGGTTTCAGGAACGTTTGTGTTCAAATGTCTGGTCCACATTGCGTGTCAGCATTAAACCAGTCGAGTCGACCTTTGTAAGTTATGTATCTGTGTTGTGTTTGAACTTCAACGGGGAATGTCAATAAACAGCTTGAGGCAAGCACTTGACCAATTTTTTGAAAAATTGTTCCCCAGTTTGTTGTTAAGTTTGTCATCACAATTTAAAACCACTGTACTGGGTAGCGCGGAACACGCAGATTTGAAAATCAATTTTGTCATCTTGCATCATCCATATTCGCATGTCTGTATTGCATTTAGTTTGAATGTGCACTCATTGACCCCTTCATTTGGCACATGCTCTGGGGCCAATAAAAGATCTGTATCAGAAATTCTGCTTTCATAAAGAGAAATAGAAACAACTAATTACCACTAGCAATACCCAAACCTGCCAAACAAAATCACAACTTTAGTTTTACAAGTTAGCTTCTTGCAGGTTGTCAACTTTGACTTTGTTTTTAAATTCAAAAGTGAAGGCGAGAGAGTGAGACCAACTTTTGGAAAAGAGGTAACTCATACTCACGCACTCGACAATGTGATTTGATGCCCCAGCAGTTCTGGTTACAAAGTGAAGGAGAGGGAAGGAAGGAAAGTAGGGGGGGGAGAAAGAGTAGCAGTTGAATGTGAACCACATCACTGATGGCAACACGCGGACAACATCAGGACGAGGCTTTGCAGTGTTGCTGAAATGTGCAATTTACTTGCTCCGTTGTGGATCCGACCTTTGGATGGACTTCAACCAGCAGTTCTAATGGGGAGTAGCTGCAGTAACCTCGTTTAAGTCTTTTTCTTTGACGCCGGCCGGGTCACCGAGCTGAGCACTCAGTGGGCTCATTCGCCAGCGCGCAGCCCGAAGCTGGAAAGTTGGCGAGAGTGGAATGTGCTCAGGTGATGCTTTTGAACCTGTCTGAAGAGGAAGTGTGGATCATGTGATTTAAAAGGTGTCAAAGGCGACAGAAAAAGAGAAGGGTAAGACTGGCCAAGAGTCAACTCAAAATTGAGATTTATATATTACAACTTGACTACCTGCACTTCTACTACTACTACTACTATTCTTCCTACTATTTCTATTTTTATTACTCCGCATTGTGCAAGCTGAAGGCACAAAGAGATGCCTAACCGAGTGTGGGACGGCGACAGTTAATTGGCCAGAGGCGTGATGTTTTTTTGCAAGCTCAAAACAAAAGCAGCGACTAAGTTTGTCTGTCATCACATCACATGACACTGTTGTGACTCAAGCACAGAGTCGGGAGGCCACAGAATGGGCAACTCCTCCGGGAAGGGCGAGGGAGACGAGGAGGAGGACGAAGAAGAGGAGGAGAAAGACGGTGAAGAGGTGGTAATAGTGCGGAAGAAGAAGAAAAAAGAGGAGGAAGTCGAGGAAGAGCTTCCACTGGGGGTGGATGAGTTGCTGGAGAGTGGAGATCCAGTGTTGGACCTGAGTTACCGTAAATTTAAGCGCTTACCTGCTCGTGTTTGCGCACTGATGCATGTGGAGAAGCTCTACGTTTGTGGAAATAGCCTGCGCGCTCTTCCCGACAGCATCACCCAGCTGCAAGGTCTGCGGATTCTCGCCTTGGACTTCAACAAGATGGAGGATGTTCCTCTCGCCATCTGCCAGCTGGCAAACCTCAGCCGCCTCTACCTGGGCAGCAACCGCCTGATGACGCTCCCTCCCGAGGTGAAAAATCTGCAGAGTCTCCGCTGCCTGTGGCTGGAGAGCAACTACTTCCAGTGGTTTCCCAAAGAGCTGTACGAACTTCCCAATCTCAAATCCCTGCAGATCGGTGACAACCGTCTCAAGACCTTGCCTCCTGACCTGTGCCGCATGGAGACTTTGAGGGGGCTGTGGCTCTATGGGAATCGCTTCCAGACCTTCCCTAAAGTCCTCCTAAGCATGGAGGGCTTGGAGATCCTGGACCTGGACCGCAACAAGATATCCGAGTTCCCCAGCCTGAAGCGCCTCCGATCCCTTCGCCTTTTCTCCTATGACCACAACCCGGTCAAGGAGCCTCCTAAAGTGGGTGAAGAGGTATTAGTGGTCGGGGAGGGCGCTGCAGAGTTCTTGGAGGAGCGTGAGACCAGGAAGGACCGGAGGCGCAAGGAGGCAGAGGAGGAAGAGGAGGCTGCTCTGGCGGGAGAGGAGCCCATCATTCACGGCATTTTGAAGAATAGCAGCTCCAAACGAGCCGCCCTTGAGGAGGACGAAGCGGAGACCGGGTCTCCGGTCCTGGAGTACGACGGCGGCGAGCTGGAGTATGACGAGGAGGCCTTTGAGTATGAGACGGAAGAGCTGATCTACGAGGCTGAGGGCTTGGAGTATGAGGGAGAGGAGCTGGAGTATGATAGGGCTTACGTAGATTATGAGTATGAGGAGGACATGGAGACGAAGGCGGAGACCTGAACTTAAACCTCCATCCAGACTGAGGGAATCTGCGAGCAGGTGGACAGCAAGGTTGCTTTGTTTGACATTCTCCCGAGCTGTGAATATAAAAGAATGAGTTTCATCTCAGGCTACTGTGAAGCAGAGCAGAACTGTGTGTGTGTGTGTGTGTGTGTGTGTGTGTGTGTGTGTGTGTGTGTGTGTGTGTGTGTGTGTGTGTGATATTATTAAACTGTCACCCACCTGAGGAAGTCACTGTCAATCATTTCTAATAGAGGAAGCCCACCAGTTGTTCTCAGCTGCAAACAAAGAGAAAATGGCATCACTGTAACTTTTGTAAAATGCCTTGTTACTCAGGTTGATAATATATTGAATGATCAAATGATTAGTAATCGCGCAAAAAGTAATCCGCTTGTGTGAAATGGAGTTTTCAGTATTCGCGCCCTGGTTTGGAAATGTAGTCAAATACTATTTGATACTTGTAAACCGCAGCTTTCACACCTCAAACACTAAACCATAGAAAAAGGGACACCCGAAATACCCTGAAATCCAAAAATACTGTCAACTTCGTGGGCTCGGCAACTATTCTTTATCCTCTGCAAAACAAACAAACAAAACAAAACAACAAAGATAACATTTGTGGGGAGCCTGGAATGAATTAACAGCATTTCTATTCATTTCAATGGGGAAAGATTATTTGAGATACATGTGTTGGGTATCTCAAGCCACTACTGTATTCACTCCAAACACTGTCTTGGTTCCTCTGACTATGCCAGCAATATTGTATACAGTATGTGACAGGAAGAACAATTAAATGCTTGCCAGCTCGATGGAAGAAGATACAATGAACCTATGAATCCACTTGTTGCCATTCATACAAAAAAAAAAAAAATTAAAAAATAAAAATAAAAAGCTTACTCTGAAGGTGGTGGTGTGCCGTGGGATTTTTCTAATGTAAAATATATGCCTTGGCTCAATAAAAGTTGGGAAATGTCGACCGCGTCCCTCATTCTAACATTGCAGAATTTACACTGATTGTGGTTGGGGCGTCTGTTTAATGTACCTAACGGCGCACCTCAAGGTGACCATGTAAAAGTGTTTATTGGATTTAGAGCTACAAAATATTTATGACGAACTAGAAACACGAGCCCCTTCCCGGTGTCTGCGTTGTGTAAGCACTGCCGTGAGGTCCAACGATGATGGTTGCGCGTGGCCACACCATAAAAGGCAAGTCCACACGGAGGCCGGCTTCAAACGGGAAGCAACAAGTAGCCCGTTCTAAATTTTCCTCACTCGCTGCACCTCCTTGTAGGTCACGGCTTGCGCTCCATCATCAACTTTGTATACTTCTTTTTCTTCCCACCTGTCCACACCTCCTCCACCTGTGTCTCTGAACGTGAACATGTCCTCCTCTCATCCCCGCAGTCATTATTCATGGAGGGCTCGAAGCGTAACGCAATCCTCGCATCTCCCCTCCCCCTCGTTGAAAGAGTGAAATATTCATCCGAGCGCTGAAATATTCATGCTGCCGCGTACTCTCATGTGTCTGTCTCTGCTGCTGGTGTTACTCGGCACGCTCAATCTGATGATTGCCTTAGTGGAATATTGATCATCCGAGGAACACAACATTCACACATCAAGGCGAATGCATTAAAAACCAAGTTGCAACCAAATTTATTTTTCATTGTCACCATCCATCCGTTCCCCATAGTGCTTGTCCTCATTGGAGTCTGGTGTGAGCTGGAGCACCTGATTTAGCTTGAAAGGCGTGCTACATCATAGACCGCCATGGCACCATGGTCTGGTCAAGTGTGGCAGCTTTAGAGTGCCTCGTAGTCAGCTCTGAGTGCATGCACATTATGGAGAGAAAACAAAACAGCATGGAAGGGGAGAACATTTTAAAAAAGACAAATCTGACTTGATTGTCGGTGTATTGACTGGTGATTCGGGCTGGCGCGCCTGCTTTAGAGTGCCTCATTGTCGCCCCATGACGACCTAGTGGGGTATATTCCAGTCAACAGAGGCTCATATATTTTTGCAGCTCAAACGTACAATACAATACAACAAGGTCATTCAAATTGTTTCATTGACAACTTGTTTTTTTTTTTACTGTTGCAAAACATATTCCAGTCTCCACATGAATTCTCTGCAGGGACTCATTGCAACATCAAGATAGTCATTTGTTTTGACAGAGCAAGTCTGCATTTGACTTTTGTATGCATGATGTAAACCCTGTGCATTATTGGACCCCCGGTATTCTACTGCGACGCCACATGGTGCTGATGACAACACAAACGGCTTCAGTCCGGGTTCAACGCTGGGTGGTGGAAAGGCTGACACGCCACAGACGTCTGCGGGAATCTGTGTCGCACTCTCTCGCAATGTTTTGATCTTTTGTTGACTCTCCCTTCATCCTATGTAGGTCAGTGAATAGCAGCAAAGTGGCTCTCTCAATTTCCACTGCCAAGACTCTCAACATAGACGTGCAAATTCACCACCATGATGTGGACAATCTACTGACACATTCTGCTTCATGGACTTGAATGGAAAGAGGTCTCAAGAGAGAGTAGGCTTTTGTCAAAGCCGGAGTTAGAATAGTTTTGGATATTCTATTGTCGTTTTTATTTCATTATGACTTTTGTTTTTTTTTTTTAATTCGGTTCGTTTTAATTAAATGTTTAGAGCAGGTTTGTTTGTCTATATTACTTTTGATTTTGTTTTTGTTTTGAAAATGGTTACCTTACATGAGTTTTTATTAGCTTTAGTATCAGTTTTAGTTTTTTCTTTTAATATATGGCGTATTTGTCGAGTGCAATAAATATATTTCTATAATTTCAAACAATTGTTTTACCTTCCTTCCTTTGTAAGGATGTACAGTTTTGCCAACATAAATAACATTTGAATGAACTCTGAAAGCTCACGTACAAGTCCGTACATTTTTCTCGAGAATGTCTTGATCATTTTAAGTTTTCATTGTACAAAGTATGTTGCTGAGGTTCAAGACATCCAATGCTAGACATAGCAAAGCAGCCCCAAAACATAGCAAGACTCCTCCTTGTTTCACAGTAAGCACAGCTGTCTTTTCATGTGCTTCATTTTTTCATTCGTAAACATAGAGCTGCTGTGACTGGCCGAAAAGCTCAATTTTTTTTTCTGTCCGAAGAATATTTCTTCAGAGCCTTTGTAGTGTGTCAATGTGCATTTTCGTGAATTATAATTTCTCTTTTACTTTGTATGATTAGTTGAGGGTTTATTTTGGCCCTCTATGGTTCAGTCACTTTTGCCTGAAATGAACAAAGTACAGAATAGTGTGTTCGGATACTGATGTACCTTGACCTTGGACTTCACCTCTAATCTCTTTGAAAGTTGTGGTCTCTCTGGTTACCAGTCACATTGTCTATTTTGTTTTTCAATTTTCCTCTCATGGTCACTTCCAGGGATGTTAGCAGTTCTGAAGACCTTGAACTTTGACTTTTCCGCAACCGTTCTCAAAAAAACATCAAGTTGGCTTTATAGCTTCTACTACCTTCAACATGCTTGTGTAATTTTTTTTTCTTCTCTCTCTTTCGCTTTCTGTGGTCTATATGCAGTAGCACCTTCCCAACGGCACAGTGGCTACTTTTCAAGATTTTTGAAATAAACAAATTGCATAAATGGGAATGTACTACCTGCCTGCAGCAAAGAGTACCACATATTATTCAAAATGAATATTGCGGTTGTAGTTTCCAGTGTAGAATTTCCCAAGCGATCGCTTGCATTAATAATAGTTGCCGAACCACCTGCATATCCACTCCTGCACTGCTCCATATCATCAGTGTAAAATCCCTCCCTTCTTCACCCTGCTAGTTCTCCGCATCATCACATTCTCTCACCAGAAGAAGAAGATCACGAGAGTTGTTGGTGGTCAGTCACAGCCTCTCAGTCATCACGACTGTCTGCTCCTGTTCAGCCATGTGAGACCATACAGTAATGGAAACGTCATTGGATACACTGATGGATGACACAATCCATTTTGGCCGGCACTGTAAGCACAAATAAAAGAGGCAAACATTGTCTGGACGGCTTTCTTTGAGATTTAATGGAATCCAACTGAAATGGGAGTTGTCAGAAATGGGATTTGTGGGGGCTAGTGATGAGAATCTTTATTAAATGAGTGCAGAAGAGCTTTCGAAAACAGTTGCCATGAATTGCATTTTTTTTTCTTACAACGAAGTAACCAAATACAGATACTGTACATCCCTAAAGAGCGCTATTTCATTCATGCATGATGTAAAACATAACACAAAAACACAAATGCACAGCAGCTCTGCACAAAAATAAGCAAATGAATTTTCGATGCTAAAGAACACATCTGAACCTAAGGTGCCATTTTAAAGCATGTCTGGATTTTCGCCACATTTCATACACCTCCAAGAACCAAATGAATAGCCCAATATCTTATCAGTGATGGAACATTGTGATTTCCTAGGAATGGAAAATATAAGCACTTGGCAAGATTTATTGATTTATATCCGTCCTCTGTTGTTGACAAATGTGACAAAAATGTTGACATGGCCAGGGACTTTTACATACACTACCAGTCTAAGATTTGGATACACTTTTCAGTGATATTAAATGAAAAAATGTGATGGCATACCCGAATATAAAAAATATTAATTTAAGATTAAGTAATTCTTGCTACAGTTTGGTTTTCTTTCCTGCTATTATCTTCATAATCATATTTATTAATGATCTTACCTTCAATTCATCGTTCCGCCACTGGATGGCAGTATGACGCCAAACAGCCTAAGGACGATAAAAGGGAGGTTATGTAAAAATGATGGATGGTTTGAAATTTGCATTGACGTGTGGATTAAAAACGTCCAGCAGAGGCAGGATGATGATTTGAAGAAAATGTCCGCACTCGCCATCTGTATACGATGCATCTACATGTACATCACATTGTAATCTCAGACACCCTCTGGTAGGACATTTAGCGAGGAAAAACAACTGAACAGCCTGAGCTGAATATCTGTGTTATTTTTTTTTTTAGACAGTCTAATTCTAATTCGTTTTCCCCTTCAAATTAACTCAGCCAAGTAAAACAGCCATCAAACAGTGAGATGTTAAATCTTTTATCGTTCACACTGCGCTTTTTGTGCCTGCGATCCAACATGAACACTTCAAACAACACAGCATGATAACTTCGGTGTGTGTTCACCACACAAAATGGGCTCCACGCACGACGCGACAGCTTGCTCAGCCTTTGGAGTAGTGCATCAATAAATGTGACACTGATAATCACACTGTTTTGCACATCTCTATTTTAATTGTCACTCGTTTCATCTCTCTCACTCTCTCTCCTCTCTTTATTTTTCTTCCTGGTCTCATGCTGCATCCTCACCTCTCCCATCTGTGCACAAGCTTCCATATTCCCTCAGC